TAGTAAAAAATTTTGATATATTTGAAATTTTATATAAATTATATAAAAATTTATAAATTAAATTTTAATATACTATATTATATATATCTAAAAATTTTTATTTTAAAAAATTTTATCAAAAAATCTTATATATTTAAAAAGAAATTATTTAATCTATTCTGTTTTTACTTTTTTTTATTATTTTTATTATCAAAAATATTTTTTTTTAAATTAACTAACTTCATATTAATAATATTAAAGTATAAAAAATAGATTATTAAAATTATAAGTATTTAATTTTATTAGTAAATTATTATGTGATCCAGTATAATTTTTTATTATAACTTATTTAAAACTTAATAATTATCAAGATTTTTTTAATAAGTTTTACTATATTAAATTTATTTTAATATAATTGAAGTATTATAATAAAAGAAATTAATAAAAAAGTAATAAAAAAAGTAATAGAATAATAAAAAAGATTTAATTTAATTATTATAATAATTATTAAATTCTAATATTTAGAACTTCTGATAAATTAAATCAAATTATAAGATAATAACTTTAATATTCAAGTACTTTTATTAAATTAGATTATTTTTAAACAAAAATTTACAATTATGTGAATCAAAATGTAAATTTATACAAGTAATTTTCTAAGATTCTACAATAATTAAAATTTATAATTAATATAATATTAATATTTGAAAATTTTATTTAATATTTATTAAAGATTATAATGTTTATAAAAAAAATTAAATCCAAAGAATAAAAATTATAATTTAATATAATTTTATTTAGTTTTATAAAACTTAATATTTATTAACTATTTTTAGTTATTTTCTTTAATTTTTATTATATTTTATTTAATAAATATTAATAAATAAATTGTTAAATAAAATGTGAACTTCGACCAATAATATTACACGTGGAGCAATTTGTATATAAAGAAAAGAACCGGTTTATTTTACAATTTTATTGTACATACATAAATCAAAAATAGAAAGAAATAATATAAGCGGAACTATTATACTATTGCAAGTGATTCAGAATATAAATTGATAAATATTATATTGAACTAATTTTATATACTTTCAATAAAATAATCCAGACCTTTATCAATTTTTTTCACCAAAAGCTAATCTATTAATAATTGCGGTACCATAAATATATTAAGCTTCAGAAGGGTTTTGCGAAATAGCTTTTTTTAAAAATATTTTATCACTTTGTAATGTGTCAATTATAATTAAGAATTTCGAAGATAAATTCAGCATTTCCAAATCAGCATGATATTTAAAGATTGTTTTATTTCATTCCTTCATCAAATTTAAGGTTAAATTAAACCCTTTGACAAGTCGATTACTAATGTTCGTGCTCAAGCTAATTTCTTCAGAGTTTGATGTTCAAATTCATTAGCAAAAAAATCATCCGAAGGATTAGTTTCTGCAACACAAGTAGGCAATCTGCAATTTCAAATGTAAAGGTAATGTTACAAATGATAAATTCGTTGTCCGATAATTGGAATTTATGATCGGGATGTTATATTCCTTATCAATTTTTTGCTTGAAGTCCTTTTCTTTAATATTTTCCAGAATTCAAAAGTGAAAACATTATGTCTAATAGTCAAAAGTTTTTTTAATATGTTGTTTTGACCATTCTTTCCTATAGGATTAAATACGGTAAATAGGTTCCGATTGTAAACAAAAAAAGAAAAAAAAATGATGTTGAGTCAACTTGATCAACAAATTAATAAATTTCAAGGACAAAAACTTTTCCTGAAATGAAAAATGACTCATCTTGTTTTATATTTCGGATTTATTAACGTTAAGTAAAGACCACCTTATCTTTCTATAATATTAATTGCATTTTATTTCAAAACTATCTTTGTTGGATAAGATAACCAATAGGATTCTGTAATCATCTGTCATCGGGATCAAACCAGGAGGACACACCTCTTTTTATTCTTTGACATAAAGACCAGAACGATTTTGATTTTTCGTTTAATATAATCTCCGAAGCCCGATTTTTTTTATTTAGCATTTTGCTGTTCTCCCATAAAGTTTCACTTTCATCCATTTATTCGGTTTAATTTGATTGGCTAGATCTTCTCGCGACCCCAATATAGATATTTTAATCACACGTGAAGAAAATCATTGGATATCACGAGATTCTCTACGTATTCATTCGTTCCAGTCAGATTTACGTTAATTCGATAAAAATTACGTAAACAAATTTTCCCAGGATCTTTAAAATGTAAGTACCTACGGACAAGTTCTAATTGCTATCCGGATTTTGATCAAAAGAAATTGATCAATAACTTTGATTTCGAATCATTAGATGGTTAAATTTTTTCATAAGATGATAATAGCGATAGAAAATTAGTTACCTAATGGCTGCATTAGGAAAAAATTGAGCCAAAATTGGAACACGTGATCTAGTCCAGGTAATAGTTTAAAGAAATTAAAGTTGAGGCGCCCAACTACTGACCTAACTAAGTAAAGTATATTTACTAGTCTAATTTTTAAATTGTACAGTATATGCAATAAGTATACATATCTATGTGTTTTGGAAGCTTCCAATAATCTTTATTGGAGAATTATTTCTTAATTAGAATTTTCTTTACCAAGAATAAAAGAATCAAAACATTCGAAAATACCGAAATTCCTTAACAGTTAATCTTTGTAAACCATAATGCTTCCTGCATAAGTCCAAAATTTTGAAGCCCGGCCCGGACTTAATAATATGACAATTCTAACTTGACCCAAAAATTAATTTATTGCAATTCAATAATTTTTCTTTTATTTTACTAATACCAAAAATAGTAATATATATTAATTTATCAAATTTTTATTGAAATAAAACCAAAGAAAATTATTGAAGTTGATTGCTCATGTACGTCAATAATTTCATTAAAATACGTATCTCGTTATAAAATAATACAATCAGCGGCTCAATTTTTAACTTTTGCCAGAATTATAAAAAATCCGGGTTGTAACTTTGAACCCGCGTTGCAGGACTCCAATTTCCAAGACTATATTCTGATACAGCACATGACCCTGCAATTTTTTAACAAGTAGAGATTTAACATTACAGAATTTTCATTAAATGTAAAATTTTTAATCATAACCTGTAAATTAGGTTTTCTATGGATAAATAAATGTAATTGTTTGGGTCAAAAGTACACGAACACCTATACCTGAAACCTCGCTCAAGAATTGGTTTGTGTTACTTGGTTTAATTTGGCCGATAAGTATGATTTCGCGTCTTTGTCTTGAAATATTATTGCCCTATTAGAATTTTATGTCAATGCTTTACTATTAAGTCCTTGAATGACAAGAACTTAAACGGAAATCCACCATGACACTAATTTTGCGTCATGTAACAATCAATTATAAAGCACATATATGCATGCTATTTTAAGATATCTTATTACTTTAAAATAATAATAATAATATAAAAAAATAAAAACAAAAAAAAAAAACAAAAAAAAGAACAAAAAAAATTTTTTTTTTTGTGGATTATGAAATTATGTAAGCAAATGCGCTTATTTGATGGTTGAAATTCTGCAGATGTAATTAATGGTTCACAATAAATTTTATTTACATTGATAGTTTACAAAAATATATAACAAGTCCTCGTTGGTCAAATAAAGTCATTATGTACAGTAAATCTTATCATTTGATTTGCCGAAAATTAGGTGTGAAGTTTTGAAAGAATTTTGCTTATATGTCACGCCAAAGCGCAATTGGATTAATTATTATCATTATCTCGGAGGCAACATTGGTAAACTCTAAATTTCTAATAAAAGGATTAATTTAGTTAGTAGGTAAGATATAAGATAAACATCGATAAACTTTTTCAGAGGCAGATCTACACTAATACATAAACGTAAGATTTACCAAAATCGATAATCAACGCAATGTTACTTTTTTCATGGGTCAATTAATAATTTTAACAATCTAGACCGAGGAGAAAAAAAAAAATAAAATACAATATAACTTTAAGCAGTAGATTCATTCAAATCACTAAAAAGGAGCGAATGCTGTCTCTTAACCAATGTTAAAAAAAAAAAAAAAAAGTTCTAAAATTATCCGAATCAGAAATCTTTTTTTAAATGAAGGGATGAAACATTTCCCCATTAATTACTAATCATTTGTCCTTTTTGCTATAACAGATCAAACAATAATCGGTGCCATGTTAATTTTATAAAATCCATTACAATAAAATATAATAATGAAGGAATTTATGAAATTCTGATATTTGATTGAATATGAATATATAACGATAATTCATCCAAGACCCAACAATAAAAAATTATTTGACCTTGGTGAAAACTGTTTTATATTTTCGAAAAACTTCCTTTATATTATCCAAATCCAATTTAATTATATATTTCAAATGACTTTCACTTAATAAAGTTAGGCTATGATACGGTCTAGAATCGCGTAGATCGTTTACTTGGCGCAATCATTGCTTCCCACAATTTTCATTTTTGTAATGACGTTCCCAAACAATACAAGCTGCGGGATATTCCTCACGTAAAACATTTCATGTTACAATAAACAAATAAATAAGTACTTTAAAAAAAATATTTTTAAAAAAAAAAAATTCATGCATAAATTCCAAGGTCTAGATCCATCTTGTTAATGTAGTTCCCGCAGCATGTGAATGGCGATTTTCTTAAAAATGGAATCACGTTGATATTTAGAGAAATTATTTTTTCCATCTTGACTGATTGCAGACAAATCATCTCCAAATTGGTTTTGGCTTTTTCATTCCTTAATAATATAAGTCAATTTATTACCCTTAATTTCTCTCATCTCCATTTACTTTTCACTTATTTCTTTTTTCTCGCGAAACATGCACGTAAGTTATCAACTCGGCTTTATTTTATTATTTTCATTTATTTTATTATTTCTTCTCCTTTCTACCTTCCTTCCTTCCTTCCTCTTGTTTAATACCGATTAGTTTTAAAAAAAAATTAACCGAGTCATTATATTTGCATTTAGGCAACTTTCATGATGTCTTCAAATCAAAATACCTTACAATTCCAAGAAAATATTGAGGCTGAAACAGGCAACGAGATAAATCGTACCCGACTTGTTGCGCTTGCTGTCAAGGAAGCTATTTCAGTAGCTAGCCAGCAAGACTGGGAAGCTGCTTGTAGAATGATATTACAACATAAATTACTCACTTGGTCAGAAAAGAATACAATCGTTACCTTGCTACAAACTAAATCTAAATCTCCATGTAAGTCTTTCAATATGACCTCTTTTTTTTCTTTTATCGAAATAAAAAATTCACATTAACGAATTTAATTCTTTTTTATTTTAAGAAATTTTAATGTTTTTTTCGAAAAATTGGTTGAAACTGTCAACCAAATTTCTCTCGACTTTAGTGACGAAACAAATTTTTTTTTTTTGAAGTCGCTTACGAATACTGATTCATTATAACTTTAAATAATTCGACAATTAGTAAATAAGGAAAGAAATTACGAATAAGATTTTCAAATACGCGCGTTTTTATTTTAACCAACATTAAATTATAAATTATGAGGGTGGACTAATCGTAATAGTAAGCAAATGATTAAGGAAAAAAAAGAAATTATAATCATTTATTTCGAATTCTAGAAAATGGCAAAAGCTTTTTCTAAAATTTTACACGTATAATATTTTCTAAGAATCTATTAATTAAAATTTTTTATATATAATATATTATTGACATCCTTTTTCCCTTCTCATGTAAGTTTTTTTAATAAATTTTAATGAATTATACCATTTATTGTAAATTGGGCAAAAAAATTTTTTTTTTTTTAAATTACCAAAAAAAAACCGAAATTGTCGAAGTTTTTTTTTTTTTATTATAATTATTATTATTGTAAACCTGATCGGTATGGTAACACTTCCGCATTTGAAATTCGGGAATCCCTACCATCTTTGATGATGTTCTAGACCAGGAAAAACGTTGGTCATATGTGTCATATAATCTCATTCATTTAATTACCTTTTTGGTATGCCGATTCGTACCATAAATATTTGTATATTTTATGTAATATATGCACAATGTTCTTTACGTGACTATGTTTTGATTGATTACTATCTTTTATTTGGTACAAGAGATTGATTTAATAAAGGGTACTGACGTCTCCGTTTTTAAATTTTTCCGAGAGAAGCCAACAATGCTCATTTAAGAGAACAATATGAATAGGTAAATTCCAGTCATTTAAATCTTACATAAGCGAGGTGCAGTTCCTTTGACAGTCGAGAAAAGTTACATACATTTGAAACAATATAAATTTCGTAAAAGAAAAAAAAAACCAATTTGGGAGGAAATTGCTTAATGGATAAACAAGTAAATAAACTGATCATAGGATCATTCGCAAAGTCGCTTTTTCCCACTTTTGAATTACCTAAAAAAAAAAACATCAACTTTTTTATAAACAGGTTGTTCCTGCAGGTCATTTAATCGAACAATCATCATATTGTTGATGCTGCGTTCATTTTTAGAAGTTCATAAAACGTATTGATGCATGATCTCACAAATTAAACCATCTAAGCCTTTTAACTTCAATAAGTTCCTTTTTTATAAAATAATGTCCAAAATTGTAATAAAAAATTAAAAAAATTAAAATAAAACTCGGGGGGTATATGAACAATATTCATGTGCTAGGGGGTTAAGGCTCATTTTCAATGATAATAATACGGCTTATTTTTCATATATAGATTTCAAAATTATCAGTTGTCATATCTTAAAAATCTTGTATTATTTTTAACTAATTTTTAAGGACGTAAATAAAAATTAAATAATATAAAGTTCAAAGGAATTTAAAAGATATACAGTAATAAACAAACTACCATTTGTTAATAAAATAAATCATAATGATGTTTTATTATTAGGTAATGAAATTATTGAAATAATAAGGCTGAATCCAAATAAATTAATCTGCAAGATAATGATGAAATAGTTTCTACAATTCTTTAACAAAAGTATCAGAAATTTTGAAGTAACTAATGCAGAATTGAGAATTTTAAAAGGTATTAAGTGTAAAGTATTAAATTATAAAATCTAGAATCTTTAATCCAATTAAACATTAATTAGTTCTAATTAATTCTTTTTTTTATTATTAAAATATTATAAAAAGAAACAATATAATATATAATAATAATATAAATAGTAAATAAAATTATTGTATTTATTGTAAAATAGTAAAAAATTTTTATTTTTTTACTATTTAAATCAATATATTGTTTTTTTAAATCCTCATTATAAAAGATCAAAATCATCAAACTAAAAAATTTTTATATTGAGTTCTGATTGTATAATATTTAAATTTATTAAATTAATCTTTTTTTTTTTTTAATATTTCTAATAATTTTTTTTTAAACTATTATTTCAGTTATAATTTTTTATTACCTTAAATATCTTATATATAAACAATTTTATAAATATTTTTTAATTAATTTTCTTTATAATATTTTAACTAACTTATAAATAATTATTTATTATTTATAAATACTGTAAAAAAAATAAAAATTATAAAAAATAATAAATATTTTACATTAATTTAACTAATTTCATAAAATATTTTTGTTTTATATTATAAAAATAATTTAGGAGTCTAAATTAAATTTTAGATTAATTTAAAAATTCAGATTAATTATATCTTTATTATTTAATTAGAATAATATTAATATTCTAATCATTTTAATTAAACAATCTTTTTATAATTTGATTGAAATAATAATTTATTATTCAATTAGAATAATAATTATAATAAATCTTTTTAATACTTTTTATCATTTGATTAAAATGATAATTTTAATTATTTTAATTGAATAAACTTTTATCATTTAATTAAAATGATAATTTTAATTATTTTATTTAAATAAATTTTTATTATTTAATTAAAATAATAATTTTTATTAAATGATATTTTTTTTTATTTAATTAAAACAATATTTTAACCATTTTAATTATTCTAATTAAATGATAATTTAATCATTCTAATTAAATAATATTTAAATTATTTATTTAAAATGATAATTTTAATTAAATAATACAATTAATTTTAAATATAACAAACTTATACATACTGAAAGCCGATTATATTAAATTATGTATTATAAAAAATTTTTTAATACTTAATTATACTAAATATGATTTATATAATAAAATATTATTATTACATTTGAAATTATTTTAACTAAACAAGCATATTAAGCTATATATTTTATATACTAAATGATCATATAATTTAACAATTAAATATATAACTATATATAAATTATAAAAAATATAGATAATTTATTTATTAAATGTGATTAAAATGCAAAAAATTTTTCAAAAAAACTTTATTTTTTACTATACAAAATATAAACTTTATAAAATAAAAAAATTCAATAATTTTTAATATTAATTTTACTTAATAATATTATGTTAAAAAGTCAAAAATTACTAATATTTTAAAACATTAAGCTTGCAATTTTAAAAATTTAAAAAAGTATTAAAAAATTTCATGTTTTAAACTAATTTTAACTTGAAAATACATTTAGTTTTTAGGTTAATAATGCATTTAATATTAGATAAGTTATTAATAATAAAACTAATTATATTATAATTATAAATATAAACAGTTAAGTTATATTAATTAAACAACTAGAATGCATTTAAAATAGTTGTTTATAGTATTCTTAAACATTTTCACAAAACTGGTTTTTAAAACTAAAAAATAGAATGATCACTTACTGCTTCTAAGTATATCAGTTTAACAAAAACTTAAAGCTTTTATTTAAGAAGATAGCAAAATTTGTTGATTTTACTCAAAAAAACCTTTTAACTATTTAGACAGTTTATACAAAACAGTCTATTTTTGCTTTACTATATGTTGAAATCTCAAGAAAGTTAAACTTTCTACTTATATTCTTTATTATAAATCTGCTATAATATAAAAATATTATTAAGTTTATTTTAAATGAGTTTATGATATAAAATTAGATAGTAAAATAATAGAAAAGAGTATTTTTTTCAGATGAAAGTACTTTTATATAATTTTAACAAGATTATCAAGGAAAAGTGTGATGTAAACATAGAGAAAAATTAAACTCTAAATACATTATAGTTACTGTAAAATATAATTCTAGTAAAATATTTTGAAGATACTTTTCTTGATATGAAATTAGGTTAATTACTTCATTAAAAGATTAAGTTACTGATCAAATATATGTTAAAATTATTAATAATTATGTTATACTTACCTTATGTAAATATTTTTTATGTAATAATAGAATTTTTAAAAGGATAATATTGTATTAAATCATTTAAAAATTGCTACAGCTACTCATAAAAATGCTAAAATCAAAATAATTAATTAGCTTGCATAAAGTTTCAATCTCAACCTAATTGAAAATTTTTAGGCTGAGATAAAAATGATAGTTTTTCACTATACTCTACTACTATCTAGTATTAAAATATTTAAAAAGTATATAAAGAATATATAGAAAGTTATTCTTCTAGAATATTACAAAAAACTGATTAATAGTATATTACGACGAATTATAGCAATTATTGTTATAAATAAAAATAGGATTAATTATTAAATTTTTTTAATTTTTTTATAAATTAATAAAAAAAATATATTGAATTTATATTTATTAAAATTTAATTTTTATTATATTATGTATATATAATTTTTTTTGATTTTAAAAATGTTTGCATAATTTTGGTTATTAACTGTATTTTAAAATTAAAGACAAGTTATTAAACTAGTTTTTAATAAAAGATTTTATTACTTAATTAAATAATTAACTGGCTTTAAAAATACTATAATTTGTATTAATTTAATTTAAAAAATAAATTAAAGTTGCAAGTATACTTTCTGTTAAATCAATAGAAAATGATTATTTTATTTTATAATAGTTTTTTGTATTTATAATCTTGAAGATATTTAGAATAGAGATAAAATTAATCTATTCTAAAAAATAAATCTTCTAAAGTATTAATATATACTTCTTTATTAGATTATAAAAAAGAAAAATCTTAGTTATAAAATTTTATGCAATAAATAGAAAAAATAACTCTTATATTTATTTATAAATATAAACTTCTTATGTCATATAAAATATTAATTATAAAAATCTTTTAATTTTTTATTTTTAAAATAATAAAACTTAAATATAAGTTAATATTTTTAATAAAATTTTTCTTAAGCTTAATAAAAAATAAATAAAAAAAAATAAAAAATATTTATTTAATTGATAATATACAAATAGATTTTATTTTAGATAAAATTCAAAAAATTAAATAATATAGAAGTAAAAATTTTTTTATCAAATACTATTTTAAATATTAATCTTATAATATAAATATTATTTATTTATTCAAATAATATTATAAAGATTTTTTATAAAATCAGATTAATGTATATAATAATATACAGAATAGTATAATATAAAAACTTGATAATTATATAATCTATAATACTTTATAAATGCAGTTAAAGTATATTCTATATAATATTTTAAATAAAAGTCTAATATTCTATTAATTTAAGTTTTTTAATTAAAATTAGAGTAAGAAATTATATATTGAGAATTTGTTAACATCTGAATTTTCAAATAAATAAAATATATATGTAAAATATTAATAATAGTAAGTTATTATAATTTAACTTGCAAGGTTTACTGAGTAGAAAGAATATCTTTATTATCAAGTAATTATTCTAAAAAGAAGAAATTAATTTAAATTAAAAGTTAATTTTCAAATATTGTGCTTTTAAAAATAGTCAATAGATCTGCTTTAGAATTACCTAAAATCTATAATATTTAATTTTAAAAATGCATATTTTATATGATAAAATATATAAATAAATATGATAAATTTTTATAAAATATACTTTATTTTTGTTTAATTTTTTAAAATTTGCTAAAAATATGCAGTTTTTATTTTTTATTAAAGTATCTTATTAAGCTACTATTATTATTAAAATATAAAAATTTAAAGTAGTAATTGAATTTTCTGAAAAAATATATTATCTATCATTATGAATATTAGTATATGTTAAAAAACTTCATATATCTATATCAAATAATAGCAATCAAATATATCTAAGGCTAATTTTAATAAAATTGGTAAATTATTAATTTTGTTATTCTAATAAATATTTAAATCAAATATATTTTCAAATTTCTTTTCTAAATTACAATAAATTTCTCATTCTTATTTATAATTTGATTTATTAGATTTTTAAATTTTTAAATATAAATTAATATTATAATGATATTATAAAATACAAATATAACATAAATTAAAATATTAAATTGGTTTAAATAAAAGTAATGCTGAATAATTATTAATATATTTCTTTAGTTTTATTAAAAACTGTTAATAAGCTTCTTGAAATATTATAATATATGCTTTTAAATCAACATTTTTTTTTCAAAATTTATTATTCATTTATTATTAATAGATGGTTAAATAATCTCAGATTATA